TGCACAGTATATGCCATTTTATGAGAAAATGTTTGATTGGCCGACTGCTGAACTGGCCTATGAAGACCTAGATGTTGAGTGTGACCAAGAATTCGATTATGTGCCTTAAAAACTTTGTAATTTTTATAAATAAAACGTAGTTTTGAGTTTCCATTTCGTTTTTGTCTTACTTTTTAACCTAATTCTAAATAACATGCATATGTTCAGTGCAAAAACCACATATATTTTTTTAATTATATATCGTAAAAAATAATATTTCCAAAAAATTTAGTCAAATACCATAATATTTTTAAATAACAAAAATAAATGTGTGATAAAGAAATTATCATTCGAGCAATGTAGTTATTTTTGATTCCTGATAAGTTTAATTTTTTGGCTTATATGGTTATTGAAATGAGCGGTTGAATTAGATTGTGTGATTGATTTTTGTGTGTATGGAGTTTATATGGTTTTGAAATGTTTTAATAGATTTCTGGCTGGCTGGCCAGATAACGCATCTCTTCCACAGTTTCGGTTTTAGATGAAACTTATCAATTGATAGTTTTTCAAAATGTTCAATAAAAATAATAGGATAACAGGAAAAAGTGGGGAACTTGGCGCTTCAGCGACAGGCAGGAAATTTAATAAAGAGAGTTTCAACGTCAAAACTAACTAAAATGTCGACTTAATAAGTTTTAGTTCTTGAATAAGATGCAAAGATGAATTCCCGTAAGAGGTTTTAGAACTGCGGCTAGATATTCTGGTAAGGAGTACGTTGGTGCTAACGATAGGCCGATAGTAGACGGTAGATTTGTTGACTCCAGGAATTGTGAAAAGTGACTGTTCTTTTTTGATGGACTGCAGACGAGGTGTCTGTGTTTTATCGATCAAATCGGATTTTCATTTAGTTTTGACTTCGTATTGATTATACCCGTGGCGTTTTTCTTATATGATTTTAAGATTACTATCTGTGGGGTTGATTTTAACGATTTTAATTAAAGTTAGTGTACTTAAACCCTTAAACTGAAGAACTGACCAGGAATGCAAATGGTAGGGATGGATTGGAAATCAAATACATACGAGGCATACCAAAGATTGTGAATTTAAACTAAACACCCAGTTTCATATCTGATACTGCCATCTGCTATTACCAAAATGTTAACGGAATCAATTCGGAAAGTCATGAAATCTTCTATACTACCTCTTGCGATGTATTGGATATTGTGGGGCTTACTGAGGTTTGGCTGTACCCTGATCTCTCTGGTTCGGAAATATTGCTCAATAAATGTACGGTTTATCGCAGTGATAGGAACTTTGTAGCTATGGGTGCATCTAGGGGAGGTGGAGTGCTGCTTGCTGTTAATAAAGAACATTTTCCTTCAGAGAAAATCGATATGCCTCCAATAACTGTGTGTTGCTAACGCTGTTGATTTAATTAGTACCGGATATTGATTTTGAGTCGCCCTTGGAATGTTTTTTGGAATTTATTGATGCCATCATTCTTCGCGACTTCAATATTCCCAGTTTTATTTCAGATGCATCTAATGACCTCCGGTTCACTTCGACCAGTTATTTTTTAGGAGCAACATGATTCGAACATGTGTGTAATAACATGAATCGCTTGCTGTATCTTGTATTTTCAAGCATTCCTTGCTTTGTTGAAAGAGACGAGTGCCCTATTGTTACGTCTGTACCACTTCAATTAGCATCGAATCAGTCTACAGACTTTGGCCTGTGTTGTGACTCCATGAAAGAATTTAACTTTAGAGAGGCAAATTATTCTCACATGGATGAGTCCTTGAATTGTTTTTATAATACTCTTAATAAGTTATTTCAATAATCCGTTCCACTTAAAGTCAAAAGACCCCAACGTTTCCCAGTCTGATATACTGGAGGGATTATACAAATCTTTGAGAAAGAAGCTTTTGTTGCTATCTATATTTCAAGCACTTAGGCGTCAAATCAAAACTGAAACAGTGAAAGCACATAGTGAGTACTTAAGCAATATCGAATTGAATATACGAGATGATCCTTCAAAATTGTGCTCAATCGAAGAGAAATAGTCCCAGAATCCCAGGCTTGATGTCTTTCGGCGGTGAATCTTTTAAGGAAATTCAAGCCATAGTAGATGCGTTTGGTAGATTTCAGTTCGGTCTGTATTATCGCTGATAAGAATTGTAGAGGTGTGATGTCTCTTTCAGCCACAGTTTGTCACTGTATTTATTCCAGTCTTAAGAATAATTATAGTGTTGAGCAATGCGGTTTTGTTTCAAATAAGTAATGCACAAGCAATCTGGCAACGTTGACTAAATATTTATGTAAATTAACTGATGATTTAGCTCAGACGGATGTAATATATATGGATCTTTTTATCGAAACTTCACAGTTGCTAAAAAGCTTCAATACGTATTTCATCCCACATCGGTAGTACCACAAGGGTCAAATTTAGGAACTCTTCTTTTTGTCATTTTTATTGATGGTCTAATTGATAAATTGGTAAAATATACTAATAAATTAGTATATGCTGATAATTTAAAAATCTATTGCATGATTAATTGAACATTGCTTGTTGCTTCAGGATCGATTAGGTTTAAATGTTTCCAAATGTAACGTGCTCGCTTATTCTAGAAATCCGAACATAAATTTATTTAATTACGTGATTAATGGAACTGTATTGGTTCGATTAAGTGAAGTTCAAGACTTGGGGATTATCTTATTTTCCAGACTCTTTTGTATCTCATATTGAGCATTTATTATTATCTTCAAGAGCGTTAGGTTTCGTAATAAGAAGGTGCCGACATTTCAACAATACCTCAGCCATTAGAACTTTGTACCATTCTTAAATGAGATCTAAATTAGAATATTGGCGTGGCGTCCAATATCTCAATGTCCCATTGATATCCTGGAGTTAATTCAGAGAAGGTTGCTTATATCTGCATAGAGGATTTGAGCATCAGGTACTATTACGCCGGTTCTGGGAATCGTCTCTGGAGGTTAGGGGGGGCATTCGTTCTTTAAAATTTCGGTGTGGGCTTTTGCGTACGGTGAATCCTTTAAGCAACGTAAAATTTTGCGTCCCCAGAATTAAAGCCAGGCCTACATTTCATCTCCCTACACATCAGTCGCCAATTTTGTTTTTGTATGGTAACTTCATTATTGTTTCAGACATATGTGATATTAATGCGAATATACTTCGTGAGATTGTTGACTGTGTTTCGGTTTATGTGCAGAGCTTATATGATTATATTATATTATTTTTCTCTTATTTATATATTTCCTGAAATCGGGTGTATAACTGTTGAAAATAAATTTGCTTGTAACTTTCAAAAATCGATTAAATCGAATTTTCGAAAGTATCTGCGCTCGTATAAATTTTTTTTATCTCGATAACGGTAGGTCCTAAGGCATCGCCGTTAATACAGAAATGATCATCGTGGAAAAAAATTTTTTTTGATCTGCTTGTCCGTTCTCCGTTTTCGTCTTTTGGTTTTTCCTGAATAACTTTCGAACCGTTGGAGCTACAACATTGAAATTTGCCTTCTTTTTAACCCTCCACGAGGCACATAAGCTTGTAAGAAATGGCCCCGATCAGACGCCGGTATCCATCTTTTTTCGCGATTGTCGACTGCTTGCTATGAAACACGATACGTATCCGAAATTTGAAGCAATCGACTTCATATTTGGCACATATATGCAGCTTTGCCCCTTGACGGAACCTATTGAAAATGGGGGGGCCTCTGTTTTAGACATATAGACAGCTTAAACTTTTGTATTTACGGTTTTTAAGTATTGTACAGGGTGTTCGCGATATTCCGTGGAATATTAAAAAACATAATAAGTACTCCAAATTTGCAGCTACCGACTTCAGACTTGGGAGAGTAGTAGAAATCTAGGCTCGCAATTAGACTCTTTGAATTGGGACCAATAAAATAACGTGAAGTATGTTTTTTTATTTTTGAATTTTTTGTGTGGTTATTTTGGCATCCAGAATAACATCTTTTCCTCCAAAGCCATTCATCAGATCGGAAAAATTTTACATCCGTAATACGTGGGAGGCCCGGCGCTATAACTATTGTTTCACGCATTTTTTTGATTATATGCAAGCTGTTTTAGTTATGGACAAAAATTTAAAAGACCCTGAAAATTGTTCCTTCAGAGAGTTAATTATTAACCGTAAATCAAAATTCATACAAACAATAGCTAATCCGTTCAAACAGTGTTATAGGCCGTATCAAGGGCTACAATTTCTGTATTTATGGTTTTCATCTATCGTACTGCATGGTTTCAGAAAACAAGTAGTATTTTGAAAACCATTTACTCCATTGGAAAAATTCTGATACCAGAAAACTAAGGAGATCCAGAGCTATATCCTCTGTTTCGAACATTGTTGGAATTATATACAGGGTACGTCGTTTGTCGGCAAAAAATTCTAATAGATCCTAGAAATTTCCGCCTCTGTGGGTGGATTATTGGAGATACATGAGAAACTTTTAAAGATGTGATAATTTGATATGAACGTTATCGTAAACCGTGTTGAGAGAGAGTTTAACGTTTCGTCAATAATACTGCGGACGCAAGATATTTGAAAAAATATAATTTTAAATTGCAATTACCAGTACAAATTTTGATATTTACAGTAGTATGCCTTAAATTTGAAGTTCGACGAGATGTGAAGGACACCTTATACATGGCGTATTCACAATCAAATTACATCGAGTTTGCGAAAGTTCCATACTAGTTCGCAGGAGCACGATAGAAAAATATTGCGTCTCTACAGGAATCCGCGAAGCGCCTTCTTTATAAAATAAAAAGCTGATTCGCGCTATTCGCGACGAACTTGCACCGCTCACCGACGATTTTTCGAAAGCACTCTTGTTATAATTACTATTATTATTATTATTGTATTCACTTCTTTTAAACTTTTAAAATAGTCGATTTTGTGGGGCAATCTAATGTTTACGTAAATTTTACAATTATTAATTTACCTAATGGAACACACAATAGAGTTCAGCAAACAGTACCTGCGGATTTTTTATTCGTAAGGTGAAAACCGACAGATCCTCCACCTGCGCTTTGCCCAAATATGGTAATTTTGTCTGGGTCTCCACCAAAGGATCCGATATTTCCTTTGGTCCAATTCAAGGCAAACAGCTGATCTTTCAAACCGGCGTTTCCCAAAATTTCCGTATCGAAAGAGTACCGGCAACTTTTCTGCGATCTGGAACATCGAAAATATACGTTTGAAAGACTCAAACAACGTCGTTCGAGCAAATCTGAAGTTAAAGTTTTTATATCTTGCTTGCAAAGTCTCTCTATAATTATATAACTTCTGGAAATTTGATAGTTTTTGATAGATAGTTTTCGAAGTATCCGAATAAAATAGTCCAATTTTACAGCCGTCCATATTTCTCTCACGTGGTCCATGTTATTCAAGGTACTCAGGTCAATGACGTCATGCTCCTTTTGAATTATGTGGAATCCCAACTATTGTCGCTATATGCATAGTACGTCATAAAGCTACATCCATTCGTTTATAATACGACCAAAAACATAGTGCATTTATTGCTGTGACGTTTAAAGTATTTTACAGTACTTTAACCGCAGACCCTCGCAGGACCGTTATAAAACCCATTCCAACAGAAGTAGGTCTTGCCTGAGATGAACCGTAACGAATATTTATAGAAACTTGAAATTTTTATTTGAAATATAAATGGACCGTTTTAAGTTTAATTAGGCATTGATGCTGTGGGGTATTTTCAAATAAGTAGAAGCGTTTATTTTAACATCAGGTATCGTTCTTAAGAGTTTAATCTAAATTGCAATATGTTCGTATATATTACTCAAGTATTTGACTGTGATCCATCCAGTAAGTACATATATCACTTGATTGTTCAAAGGGTAAGAGTGAATACCTATACTCTTTTTATCTATTTATTTTACAGGTAAGTTTGAAAATAATCATTTTTGTCTTATGTGCCTGTCGATTAACGTAATTCTTTTTGGTTTTTTGTGTCTTCTACATAGTTCTTCGTTTTATAAGCAACAACAGTCCTTTTTATGACGGTAGATTATATTCGCGGTAGATAAAGGTGCGTCATAAGAATACAGAAGAGGACGAAGTGGAAATGGTAGTCGAACCTAATGACAATTTAGAAAACGAACTACCTCAGCAAATAAAAAAACGGATCCATTTGTCTTCGGATGCTAAACAAATTGTTTTCAATGTTTACAATTTCATAAGAAACTCAGATCGAGGAGCAGCAATAAAAACAAGTGATCAAAGTTCCGAAGTCAACTATAAGAAAAATTGTTACAAATGGGATAGTCAAGAAGAAAGTAAGAGAGTTTTTAAAGAGTAACAAGCAGATCTAATTAGGTGTATACTCTGCGACGCCTTTAAAGTGTTTTAACCCTAAAAGAACTGCATAAACATTAGTTGCGCCAAAGGGTTGTTGGGTAATTTTTTGAAGAAAATGCATTTTCAGTTCCAAGCAATTAATAAACGTCAAATGCTAATGGAATCTTAAAGAATTTCGTAATGGAGGGTGGATATTGTTCAACGTTGGCACTGCCTCTCAATATTATTTTTATTAAATATTTAGTACATTTCCAAAACGTTGGAAAGTTGCACAAATTGCACCAATCCTAAAGTCTGGTGATGCCACAGAAGTAGCTAATTATAAACCTATGTCACTCCTATGTCATTTTGCGAAAATTTTCGAAGCCGTTAATTACACCCGATTATTTTTCATGATAAGGAATGACATAGACCTGAATCAACATGGATTTCACAAGAAACGTTCCCTACTTGCTAACCTAATTCCTTTTATCGATAATATTAACCTTTTTAGGCGGATTGGCTTTGAGACTTGTGCCGTGTACACTACCTTTTCTAAGGCTTTTGACATAGTTCATCACCACACTCTGGGAAAGAAGCTTGAAAAGTTCGGTACATGGCAGCTTACTTGGTTTGTTGCAAAATTACCTAACTCAGTTTTCGGTTGTGAAGGATGAAAAGTCACTTTATGTGAATGTAACATCTGGAGTCCTGCGGGGGTCATACCTGGTACCCTTACTTTTCAATATTTTTACTTATTTGATATTGGAAGCTGTTTTCAACATTCATTAACAACCTCATTGCAGATGACTTACAAGTAAGAATAGAAATTCATTTCCAATGTAAACATCACAGACTTTTATTAAATCTCGATAATTGCCAAACAATACAATTTACAAGGAAAAAAGAAGCTATTGATATTGACTCAAAATTAGACAATATGAAACTTAAGAGAATTACTCAAGTTAAAGATGTATATATCATAGCGGACTCTAAGTTAACATTTGGAAGTACATGTAGAAAATATTTTAAAAAAGGGCTTGAGAAATCTTGGTTTTGTTTTACTTAACACCAAGGGCTTTCGCAACTACAAATTTGTTATTCTAATTTATACTAGCGTCATTAAATCCATCTTGGAATTCTCATCCACTACATGAAATCCGATCTATCGCCAGTATGATTGGATAGACATAATGGAGACAGATATTTTGTATGAAAATAACCTACAGTTTTATATATTAAGGTCGCTTGAAACATGCATATATAAAATTGTCGGCGAACCTCTTTTTTGTACAGGTAACTTATCTTTTAATTGTAGTCTTTATGGTGTGCGCACTAGGCTAACTTTGTCTACAGAAAGAACCGTAACTACTTCTTAAACTCTCCGCTTTGTAATTTTATGTTTATTATGCGCTACCCTGTAATTGGACAGCTTCGTCTGTGCTTTAGTTGGCCTTTGGATTTACAAAATAAAAAATAAAAGAATTTATCATACTGACTCTAAAAATGGCTTTGTGGAATATGCCAGTGTTATTTTTAAATCGGGCTGCAAATCAGGGGACTATCACGATTCAACAAACACCGAAAATTTTTAAAAGTGATTAATATTGCACTTTGCAGAAACCCTTACAAAATAGAATTTTAATTTAGTTTTTCTACTCCCGTCTGTAAAATACCTAATTACACACCGATCTAGCGTGCCGGAAGCGTCACTTTACCACATCAGTTTGGTTTCCCATGAATCCGAGCCACTTTAGACATTTCCGGGGTTTTATCGCACCGGTTTGGGAGCAGCAATCGGATATTTTCGGAGATATTTCCCACCCTTTGAGTTTTAACGTTTTTCAATTCTGACAGTCATGTCAGTGAATGTATTCGTGTTGTTTTGCGAAAATATACCCCAAAAGAAACGGTCGTACAAAAAGTATTGTATGCAACACGTTCGGTAAACTTTTTAAGTCACTCGTTTATTAAACACTCGCTCCAGTTATGTACAATGATTTCTACGTAATAAGGATAGGACACCGTGAGATCTACGATGTCAGCATTTGGCCACGATGGTACTATGAAGAGACCGTGAGATTCACATTTTCAGCTTTTCGGATACGAACCTATAAAGACTTAATTTTAAGTAATATGATTATTCTTGTTGTAACTGCTGCTGCAGAAACTCTTAATTTTCGATTGCATTTTGAAAATAAAGTTTTTAAAAAGTCATCTGACAGGAACAGCTGTCATTGATTCCCTCCTAACTTTTGTATCACACCATGGTTTACCTTTAAAAATCACGTCAGACCGTAAAACGGAGTCTAAAAATAAAAACATAGAGGACTTTTGTAAATTGTATAAAATTGAGTTGCATTATACCACTTCAAAGAACAGTAACTCTAACTCCCCCGTGGAACTTTTTCATTCTTCTATAATTGAAGCATATCGATGTCTTAAAGAGGAACATAAACCATACAACCCGGAACAAATCGTAAAACGCGCTTTATTAGGATATAATAACTCCAAACACAGTGTCACGAAATTTACGCCTTTTGAAATAATCAAAGGTCATATAAATGACACAAATCCTTTTGACATTAGTGACCACGTAATAATTTCGGACTATGTACAAAAACACAAAGAGAGTTCGAAAAAGGTTTACCAATTAATTTCGGAAAATAATCAAAAAACAAAAGAAAAAATAATTGATAAAAGAAACAAAGAACGCGAGGACCCCCTGAATTTCGATATTGACGAACCGGTCTACATTCGTACTACACGATCAATATTCTTCAGTTATATATAACCTTTCAAAGTGTTTTATCCCAAATTATACTTGACTGTCAAAACCTGATAAATTTTCTGGATAATTTAGAGAACGCAATTGTGTTTGCACACACTAATGCTTTACACAATTCAATAGTTTCTGTTTTGGAAATTCAGAAAATGATCGATTATTTAAAATCAATTTATGGCATAAACGAATTACCAAAATTTAATAACACGTTATCTTATTACCAATTTTTAGGGACTCAAGTAACATTTGCAGATAGTAAAATAATTTTTGCTATTCACTTCCCTATTTTAAGGCTTCAATATTTTTCTTTCCATCACCTGTTTCCTGTTATCCAAAATAACACGATAATTATTCCAAAATACCTTTATGTCGCACGAGAAAAAGAAGATATTCATTTCAAAGAGTCCTGCTGTCATGAAATCGAGCATACTTTCTACTGCCATGAAAACTACAACTCGAAGGATGAATGCACGATTCAATTGCTTGAAAATCAGCCTATAAGGAACTGTCGCAAACACCATATCGAATTATTACAACCTCTTGCAGAGCAAGTAACGCAAGAAAAAGTGCTTGTCTTACCTGTTAAAAATACATTGGTATTTGCTAAGTGTAAAATTGATCGATACCTTAAGATCGATATTCCAACACTTATAGAAATTCCAGCTGCTTGCCAAATAACCTTGGGCAAGAAAAATTATTACAATAATGTCAAAATTATGAAAGGAAAGCCTTTGTTTTACCTGAAGTCTATATAGAAGAATTGAAACCAATTATGTCACACAGATTAGCGAACATCCGTCAAATTAACTTGCAAGACCTATATCAATTAAAACGGATAACAAATGAACTACAACCGATTGAAGAAATTGACCAGCCTATGTCTACAAGTTTAATAACTAATATTATTGTTATTATATTTTTTCTAGCGGTCATTGCAGCCCTAATGATCGTTTTTAGAAAGAAACTTCTACCGAAATGTCAACATAATCAATCCGAACCCAATAAATCCAATCAGCCGGAGCAAACTCATTCCATTATGTTTGCTTCTTGAGGAGGGAGGAGTTATGTACAATGATTTCTACGTAATAAGGATAGGATACCGTGAGATCTACGATGTCAGCATTTGGCCACGATGGTACTATGAAGAGACCGTGAGATTCACATTGTCAGCTTTTCGGATACGAACCTATAAACTCTTAGTTTTAAGTAATATGATTATTCTTGTTGTAACTGCTGCTGCAGAAACTCTTAATTTTCGATTGTATTTTGAAAATAAAGTTTTTAAAAAGTCATCTCGTCTTCGCTTGAACATAATTCTCCGCTCTTGTCAAATAAACTCGTAAATGCCGTTTACCGCACTTGTTGCATAATATACTATTTTAGGATTGCATATCCTTAATCTACTTGCAACTAATGAATTAACTAAAATCGGAACTATTGGAAAAACTATTAGGTTTCCGTCTTATTTAAAAGATTGAAAAATTTTAAAAGGAATTCGAAACAAAATTTAAAAATAGGATATTTCAAACATGAGTCAAACTATCCATAGAATCACAGAGAAACTCTGAAAGTGATATGAAAATCGATTTTAAAGATTTATTCGCTATTGAGTTAAAAATATAGCCAAAAATTCCAAAAGTTTGCCGGGCACAGAGAGCTAGCTGATGGGCCTGTAATCCTCAACTAAATCCTTTCTGCTCTTTTTAACGGTACTACTACTGCGTTTTTCCACAAAACTGAAAACAGTATAACTAAAGATTGATTGAAAATTATCGATAATGGAAAACACAGTGATTCAGCAAATTTTTATAAAATTATTTAACTTGTCTTGTATTTCTTTGTGTGGAGATCTCCATGTTTGTGAGGGTTGATCTTATAAAAGCTCTGTGTGATGTTTTTTTTTATTGTAATTGTATGTTTGTTTTTTTAAGGTATATTTGTCTGTTACTTCAGTTTGTATTGTACGTTACAATGTAGTATCTTTTTATTTCATATTCTTGACGATCCCAAAATGTATTTTATTATTTAACTGCATTACATTAAAAAGCTTCAAAACTTCAAAACTTTAAATTACCTGAGAAAATGTATTAAAAATGAATAGCTAAAAAAACTCACCTTGTGGGCTGGGGTGTACACGTTGATGTACAAACAGTCTTCGTTCTCCTCTCTAGGCTCAGGGTCTCTAGGAAAATGCGCAGTTGCGATGCAAGCCGCTCCTGTTTGGTTCGCCTCTCGAATACCCTCCCAAGGGTTTGGCGGCGTTGGAGTCTAAACATCGTTAAATTACTTTTAACAAACGTTTGAGCTTCATATAGTTATATTTTACTTCAGAACGTACAGATTGCGACATTGCCGTACATTTTGCTATGTAATTTTTCTGCGTTTTTGTGGAAAACTTGTTGTGTCTGTGGTCAAAACTCTAAGGAGTAAATGTACCTACACACGAGTAAGTGTTGTCTTAAGTACAAGTTAATTTAAAGAATTTAAAAAAGGTTTACATAGGGCTCACAAACTTGTATAATTTGTGCTTTCAATACTTGGCTGCTTCACCAAATTACAGCAAATGTAGCAAATATGACCTAAAGAAATCCTATATATTTTTCAATTAACAAACTGGAAAATGGACTTGCATATAAATGTTTACATGTGAATTTACTAAAGAGAATTCCCTACTTTTTTAGGTACACTTCAACAATTTTGGCTAGAACAAGCATAAACAACTACAAATCTTTGTAAAAATCAATATGGGAAAGTTTTCGTTTGTCATCACGCTTAGCGTAAACGAAATTGCCTTTCTAGTACAAGTACAAGTTTTTAGGAAATTACCACTGCCTTTTTTTAGATTAGCATACCTAGCATATGTCATTTTTACATTTTACTTTTTAGTTTACCAAAAGATGAAATTCTAAGGAAACAATGGAAAACATACCTTGCCCAAAATGAAGCTGAAGCTGAAGTTGATAACTTTAGAAGAGGTGATAAACGTGTCTGTTAGGTGATGTTATCAATTGTACAAAATACTATTTTGATGCTAATATGTTACCAACTTTTTTTTAGTCTAAAGTATTGATATTTTTTTCGACAATGTTCTTAGTCCTAAAAATTAGCATCTTTCCATCTTGAACATAGGAGAAATTTTTGTTAATAAGAGGGCGTTTTTTGGCTTTATTTATTATTTAGACATAACAATTTTTTTTCTAGGTAAAACTAAAGTAGACACCAGCAGATCTTTAATTTTTAGTGGTAGTCAAAACAACATGACAAATTCCAGAGAGGCCTGGCACAAAACAAACATCGGTCATCAGTATTTAAAAAGGATTTGAGGCACAGTACCATATTGACAATAAGCACAATGCAGCTGATTTAAATTTTGTCATTTACAGTGAATAGAATTTGTGCTTTAGTTACTAATGATTAACAATGGTTTGAGAAATTATAAATAAAAAAAAATTTATTGCTTCCATCACTCCTTTTTGCAATTCTTGATGGTGGTAATCGTCTCAAGTTTTATTACGTTTATAAACAACAATGTATTTTATTTTTTACAAAACTTCGGGATTCCTCCTGCGTCAGTTTTTGCTGAGTCGAAATTGCTGACGTTATGCCAATCATCCTGTTGGCTTCTTCAGGACTTGACTGAAACTGGCTCGTATTTTCCTCTGTACCTGCTTATATATTGTTTGAGGGGCATAAACACAGTCTCGGACGACTGATTCCCAAATTGGTGACAAGTAGAGACCTGAGTCGCGGTTGAGATTGTTAGGTTGTTTATAGAATTCTATAGACACTAGGATTTTTCGTTGCTAGAAGAACTGATTACATGCAAGAATTTTAGTTTTACCGAATAAAATTTTATGTCCGATTTCCTGAGTGTGTTCGGCAACAGCTGATGAGTTAATTTGTCTTAGTCGTAAGGCTCTTTCATGTTCTTTGAGCCTAGTTGATATTTTTCGTCCGGGCTCTCCAATGCATTCCTTGCCGCATATGGATGGGCTGTAAACTCCTGGCATCGCAGGGGTGCAACGTTAGCTCGCCTCCTCGTGGTGCATCCTGGGTAACGCTAAAGAGCTAACACAGCTGGCGGTCAGACAATTTGTATCTATATCCTGTCCCTTAAATACATGTTTCTACTGTTTCTACATTTCTACTGTTCTACTAGTGAGGATGACCTCGCAAGCTATTCCAAATCAGATTCGAAACAGCTCTTCTCAGAGCCCCAAGACTAGAATTATCGGACCGTCAGTCCGTATTTGCCAGCTAAATATAGAGGGTATAAGCAGAGCCAAATGTGAATACCTATCTAAACTGCTGACCGAAAATGACATCGATGTTGTGACCCTACAGGAAACCCACACAAACAGCGATGAAGGATTTCAAAAAAGAGGTCGTATCCCTGGTTATACCGCACTTGCATCTCTTTCCCATCATGCGCATGGCTCAGCCACATACGTCAGGAGCACTATAAAAAATGCATCCTTAGTATCATCCAAGTGCACGAACAGTGTCTACATAATAACCGTCAAGATCGGCCTTCTCTCGATAATCAATGTGTACAAGCCGCCCGGTATGACCTGGCCGGAAGCAGCTTTACCAATGGAAACTCGCCCCGCGGTCTATATTGGTGACTTCAACAGCCACAGCACTGCCTGGGGCTACCTTAATGAAGACGTTACCGAATTAACCAGCTGGGCGGAGATCAGTAATCTCTACCTAGTTCACGATGCCAAGCAGCCAGGGACATTTAGATCCGCCGCTTGGAACAGAGACTCTAACCCCGATCTTTGCTTTGTCACCAGAAAACTAGACAACACCGCCCTAGCAACAGAAAAGAAAGTGCTGTCATGCTTTCTCCATAGTCAACATAGGCCTGTTCTGGTGACAGTAGGAGTCCAAATCCCACTTATAAATTCAACACCAAAGCCAAAATGGAATTTCAATAAAGCGGACTGGGGAAAATTCCAACACATCCTGGATAGAACTCTGCACTGGATGCCGGCTAAGCCCAAAAATTATGACAGATTCTGTGGAGCGGTGATCGCCGCCGCAAAAAAGTCCATCCCTCGACGATATAGAAAAGAGTACATTCCCGGCTGGCATGAGGACAGTCAAACCTTATATGAGGAATATCTCAACAGCGGAGACCCTGATTTCGCTGACGAAATACTGCAGAGCCTTGACAACGCTAGACGTGATAAATGGTCCCAAACCGTCGCCAATGTGGACTTCAAACACTCGAGCCGAAAAGCCTGGTGCCTCATAAGAAAACTCGGATCAGGTTCTCCACCTGTGAGAAACGACCCCGCGGTATCCGCAGATCAGATAGCGGACCATATTGTTTCAGAGCGCCCAACGACAAAAGTCACACAACCAAAATTAGAAAAGAGCTATCCCAGCTAAAAAAGAACATCATAAGAGAATCCGATTTCGCTAAACCCTTCTCAACAGAGGAGATTGAAAACGCTATAAAGGAAATGAAAACAGGTAAAGCGCCCGGCTATGATGGGTTGCATGTAGGGTTCTTGTCCTATAGTGGATCTGTAACAAAGGCTTGGCTGGCTAAGTTCTACTCTGAGATTCTCCACAATGGCTATATACCACCAAAACTAAAAAACTCAAAAATAATCTCATTGCTCAAGCCTGGTAAAGACAAAGACAGACCCGAGAGCTATAGACCCATCGCATTACTCAGCTCCTGCTATAAATTACTGAAAAAACTTATATACAACCGCATATCCGACATAATCATGCTGCATATCCCAATAGAGCAGGCGGGATTCAGAAAAAACCGAAGCTGCTGCGATCAAGTCCTCAGCCTTACAACCTTCATAGAAGCTGGTTTCCAAAATCAGGAGAAATCGGCATTCGTTTTCATAGATTTAACCGCGGCTTATGATACGGTCTGGCGCCAGGGTCTTATATACAAACTTCTGAACATCACCAGATGCAAAGCAACTACAAGCCTTATCGACAACATGCTTAGCAATCGCTCATTCCAAGTGCATTTGAATAATCAATCAAGTAAAAAGAGAGTACTAAATAATGGTTTACCGCAGGGGTCCGTCCTTGCCCCTCTGCTATTTAACCTTTATGTGTCAGACCTACCTGAAACTCGCTCTAAAAAATTTAACTATGCCGACGCCATGGCTCTTGGCTTCAGACATAAAAACCTCCACGTTGCAGAAGATGTACTGTGTGAAGATCTGATGGCCATGAATGATTTCTTTGCGAAATGGAGATTGAAACCGAGTGTGACCAAAACTGTGACTTCTTGCTTCCACCTTAACAACAAGTTGGCGAACACAGAACTGAACGTCGAATTTAACGGAACCCGACTAAAACATAACAAGCACCCGAAATACCTGGGCGTCATCTTAGACCGTACACTCTCCTTTAAAAAACATTTAAGCAAACTTAAGACAAAAAACAACATAATACCCAAACTGTGTGGCGAAAGCTGGGGTGCCTCAGCCGAAACGCTCCGATGTTCCGTTCTTGGCCTTGTTTACTCCTCGGCCGAATACTGCGCTCCTGTCTGGACGAATAGCCCCCACTCAAAACTAGTGGATATCCAAATCCACAACTCACTTAGAATGATCAGTGGAACCATCAAATCCACACCCACGTATTGACTCCCCGCGCTCTGCAACATTCCACCAGCCCATCTCCGGCGATCGGAAGCTCTCTGCAGAGAATTTAGAAAAATACAAAACAATCCCCAACTCCAAATCCATGAAGATATCGCTCAACTAGGGCACAGGCTCCGCTCCAGAAAACCTCCAATTCAAACAGCGGCAGCGCTTATATCCAATAACTTCCACCTACAAGACGAATGGGCTCAGATGTGGCAAAATAGCGTTCCTCCAGATATTTGCAGCGTTTTCCATGTTAACCAAACTATTCCAGGTTCTACACTACCGAGAGGAACCTGGTGCTCCCTAAATCGGATCCGTACAGAATGCGGTGTTTCTGCGGACTCTCTGCACAAATGGGGCAAATCAGAAACCAACTGCTGCGACTGTGGAAGGCGACAAACCATCCGCCACCTAGCATACGAGTGCGAAAAAAGACAGAGCCAGTGTACGACAACAGACTTCTTGAGGGCCACTCCATCGGCTGTTGTTTGGATTGAAAACCTAGATATTAAGATTTAACCTTTGTAAACATTAACATTTAAAACTAGACTGTGTTATTGCCATACGATAATAATAATAATCCTGGCATCGCAAATGGAATTTTGTCTTTGACGTACCGAAGATGTTGAGACATTTTTGGACAA